CCCCCCGGCTCAGCTGTTCCCCGGACACAGCTGCCTGCAGGGGCAGCTAAGTTGCGGTCCAAGAATGTCTGGGAACCTGATGTGTCGGCTCAGGTTCTCCAAGAAGCTGAGCCAAGACAGGAGTCGACAAGCCAGAGATTTCTGAGGGGAGGCACCTGCGAAGGATGAGGGGTGGGAGGGGGGAGGCTGGGGGAAGCCCCAGACCTGGAAAAGGAAGGAGGCGTGGGTGGGACGGATCTCTGAGGAAGTTTTGGCCAGGCCAGTGGGGAGTCCGCAAGCTGGGGCTGCCTGTTACAGGCATGCGTCTCGCAGGAACGGGCCGTGTCGGGGCCTGCCGTGGTCACTTCTGGCTGGGAGCAGCCGGAGGTAGTGCTGGATCCAGAGGGACGGCCTGGGGGCCACAGTCACCTCCCCAGCAGGAGATGTGAGGGCACAGCTCATGTCCGCTGCACCTGGAGCCTGAAGCCAGGGCCGGGCAGGGCAACGTGGGTGGGGAGAGCCCAGCGTTGGCCCCACGTGGGCAGTCCTGGCTCTGGACCAGCCCCTTGGGCCCAGGCCAGGGCTCCCCTGGGCCAGGCTGGGGCCTCCCCGCTGGCAGCCCTGCTCATGGGCCTGACCTTCCAGGCCTTGCGGCCTCCAGCGTAACCCCAGCAAGACACCAGCAGGGGGCAGGAGGGAAGTGCAGGTAGTTCTCGGCCCGCCCATCACAGGCACTGGGTGCCCGTGGCCTTGACTCCTCCCTGGCCCAGCTACTGTCTGGCAGGCCCCCCATGCTGGGAGGACCTCCCTGCTCCAGCCTGGGGCGGCTTCCTGCCCTCACCTCTGGGCCACCTCACCATTAGCCACGTGGCTTCTCGGCTCTTCTGTCCTCATGTGACCGGTCCCTGCACAAAATCCCTCTGTCGTACACATTTAGGGTGGCGTCCGTTTGCCTGGCTGGGCCCTGAGTTCTGCTGTGTATTTGCATCTCTCGTCGTGGCCTCCGTTACCGCCTGCCCCCCACCCCCCGCGCCCCAGCCTAGACTCGTCCTCATGCCTCTCCCTCTGCGGCCCTGTGGTCACTGCCACCTGCCTGGCGGCTCGAGTACCTGCTCCCCCTCTGACCCCTGACCCCTATCAGGGCGCCACCGCTTCTGCATCACCGTGTGGCCTCCCCATGTCACTCATGGGGTCCCCTGCTGGAAGCACAGACTGCCCCAGGACAGAACACTTGCTCCTGGTAGCGCCCTGTTCTCCAGGTGGAGCTAACCCCCTCCCCAGGTCACTGTCCCCCGCTTGCCTCCCTAGAGAGCTTCTGCCCGGCCCAGGCTCTGAGCGCCCTGTCCTCTGTGCCCCACGCCACCCCAAGCCCCCTGCCGTTCCCACTGCTCTGGGGACGGGGACTCCCCGTAAGCCTGCTTGTCCTGCAGCTGGTCAGCGGCCCTGACGTTCCTTCCAGGATCACCGGCCGCCGTGTGGCGAGGGGCTGAGCGTCGTGCATGCTCCGACCGGGGACAGGGAGAGCTAACACTCGGCACCAACCCAGCCCGTGCTGGCAGTTGCACAAAACCACCCCGGTGAAGGCATTGTTGTCCCTGTTGTACTCGGGGAAAACTGGGGGTCAGGGACATGAAGCAGCTCTCCTGAGGTGCCCCCACCGTGGGCCCGGACTGGGGGCTGGGCCGTGTCCCAGCGTCATGGGTGCCAACTGATCCCAGGACAGGCTCAGCTGGTCTCCCCGTGACCACGTCACTTTGCTACGTTACCTAGAGGCTCTTCTTGTCAGAATATTCTGTAAACTAGGAAATGAGAAGCCATGGGAAGAGGCAGCAGTCACTGTCTGGTGGGAGTGAGGAGGCCAGTAAATTAAGTTCTGTGTGTCACAGACACCAGGGAGCTAACAGCTTTACAGACTCAAAATCTCAGATGACTGTGTTTCAGAATAAGAATGAGGTCTTCATCTGTCTTAAATCCACTGAACCAGGCCCTCCCACCTATGAGCCGTGGAGCTTGGCCGCCTCACTCCATATCCCCGTGCCTCAGCTTCCCCAGCTGGAAGACCAGCATCATACTCCCCTCGTCCGAGTGCTCCAGGTTGAATTTAGATGCGTTACAAGCTTACCCTAATGCTTGGATCGTAAAAACTCAATAAAACGCAGAAGGGGAAAGCCTATTTTAAGCATGTAGATTTAAGATAAAATTTGCATCACATCGTCACATAAACATAATTGTAAAGTCCAAGGAGATTGTTTTCTCCCTGACAGTAAATGTCGTGGGTGCTCACGAAGGAACAGTTATTAGGGAATACGAGATGTTCAGAAGAAAATGAAAATCCTGTTATTCTACCCACACTCGAGACCACAGTTGGCATTTTGACATATTTCCTTTTTGGTTTTTTTCCCCCAAATACATTTTAGGTACTCACGTTGGGGGCAAGACGTGTCCTAGCTGGTTCACACGCTAGCTCGAGCGTCTTCCCATGTCATTCTGTGCTTTTTCACCGCCGTGTTTGGTGGCCGTCACCCTCCATCGGGTGAATGCATGTGACGTGTGTTCTCTCCTGAGGTGGGCTCCATGCAAGGCCACACTGGGGGTGGGGGCAGCCGTGTGTGGCCAGCCCCCAGCGCCGTGCTTCACGAATCCCTGTCAAACTGCCACCACGGGCCAGATGCTCGCAGCCTCTCCATCTGTTCATCAGCTGAGTGCATGTTGTGTGCCAGGACGTTGGTGGGCACTGAGGATACCGTCCTCCCACGTCCTCCTGAGCTCGGAGGGGTGGGGGCTGAACAGAGGCCCAAGGGCCGTTCCCAGCAGGCTGCTCCGCGCCGGGCCTCCTGAACGAGGCACCACCGGCCACCTGACTGGGAGGGCCCACGGCATGGCTCTACTCCCGCTTTGAGGTCAGTTTGCTTGCCCTTCCTCTGCAGAAGGAATCCCACTGCTGTCCCTTGTCCTGCGGCCCATTGTCCAGCCCCCTTGCCTGTGCACAGCTCCTACAGCTCTGGCCGAAGCCAGGTGCAGAGTGTGTGCGGTTCAGGGGCCGTCATTGGACGTCCAGGCACCTCCTCTAGTGGGTGATGCTGACCCCGCCTGGTGACAGGAGCGGGGTTCCTGGGGAGACGGACCCTGGGGGACGGACCCTGGGGATGTGTGCCCTGCCGGACAGTCGTCCAGCTTGCCCTGTGGGACTTTGTGCAGCTTTCCTAGGGGGCGCAGTGCGGGGGGAAGGGGGCAGCTGGGGACGCTTTAAAGGCGGCTTATGCGCTTTTGTCTGTTGGGTCTTTAAGGAATATTCATTATGATTCATTTCAACCAGTTTACATCTTTGAAACTTTGTCTCTTGCTCTAGTCAGAGGGCAAATTGGCTAAAATGTATGTTTCCAATATGATTCCTGAATTTTGTTGTCTTTTACGCATTGAGAAGAATTTATAACTCTTTAGAATCATTTTTTGTAAACAACGTTTTTGGCATTTTGTTTTTTTGCCTTTTAAATTTTACAATTTCAACCAGTAATGCCTACTTGAATCTAATCATGCCCTTTAAGAAAAAGGAAAAAATATATTTTTGTTTGTTAAGGGTTCTATGATAAAGCAAAACTTCCAAAAAGGAGGAACTGTGGGCTTTTAAAAAGATTCAGATTCTCCTAAAAAAAGAATCTTTTAAAATGTCATTTTAGGGGCGCCTGGGTGGCTCAGTCGGTTGAGCGTCTGACTCTTGATCTCAGCTCAGGTCATAATCTCAGGGTCATGAGTTAGAGCCCCGTGTTGGGCTCCATGCTGGGTGTGGAGGTTACTTTTAAAAGGTGTGGTTTTAGCGTGTTTGTGTAGATGGTTTCTAGTTATTTCAGACTTCCAGTAACCCCAAGAATCAGTGCACCTTTCATCCTATAGCTTGGCTGGTGTGCAGTTGAGAGTTGGTGCCAGTTTCTCTGGAATCGATTCCGAGGAGCTGTGCGGCGTCCCCGCGCTTTCCGGGTGTGTCTGGGCTGATGTTGGCTCCGGCGGGCAGCGCGTGGCTTCCTGTGTGGTGGCCTTGGGGCTCACGGAGCACTGGGGGCTCCTGACGAGGGTCAGACCCTCCCCACGTGGCGGGCCCTTCCTCGCTGGTGTTTCGCACGTGTGGCTTGCTGTCCTCAGCGGCCCTGGCTGGCACCCGTCTGGCTCTGGGAGTGCTACCAACACCCCTCACCGGGGCCCTGACCATAGCGGACCCAACAGGCCGGGCATCTGGCTCCCCCACGCGGCTTCTCGCTCCTCCGGGGAAGCGGAGGGACGCCTGTGCCCAGCAGAGCACCATGGCCGATGCGGGGAGGAGGGCCAGAGCTCCTAGCTCGATGGTGGTTTGCATGTGGCTTGTGGTACCCCCACGGCAGCCGTGGGAGAGTGGGTGAGATGTGCCCCAGGCCACCCCGTGTGTAGGAGCTGGGGCCGCACCATGGACCCTGGAGGCCACGCCCCCTCACCGCCCGCTCGCGTTCCCACACCCGGGAGGCGTCTGTGGGACGGACGTGTGGATGTCGCACCTCCTCTGGGGCCCAGGACTCGGCTCCCGCCCCCCGTAGCCCTGGATTGCGAGGGGGCAGCGAGGCTGACTCTTCCCCAGCTCTCTGTAGCCTCTTCTCGGGCCGCTCGAGGACAGGAGTGCGTTTCCGGCCAAGGCGCTCCGGGCGTGCGGGACAGTGGTGCCCCCGGCGCACGGACCCCACGCTCCTGCCCTCTGCTCCCCTGCAGGTGGACCAGCGGGTGTTCAGAGACCTCATGAGCGAGAAGCTGCCCCGGCTGCACACGCACCTGGAGCAGTACAATGTCGACTACACCCTCATCACGTTCAACTGGTTTCTGGTGGTGTTTGTGGACAGCGTCGTCAGTGACATCCTCTTCAAGATCTGGGACTCTTTCCTTTACGAGGGACCAAAGGTGGGCCCGCCGCTGGGTGACTGGGCAGGCCGCTGCACAGGGGCCAGCTCCCCGGGGACGTGGTGGGCCACCGTGGGAGGGCCTGGGGCGCGGGAGGCCGCCGCCCAGCAGCCCTGAGCGGAGGGCCTCTCTGCCGACGGACGTCCCCGTGCTGCCCGCAGGTCATTTTCCGGTTTGCCCTGGCGCTTTTCAAATACAAGGAGGAGGAGATCCTGAAGCTGCAGGACTCAATGTCCATATTCAAGTATCTCCGCTACTTCACTCGCACGATCCTCGACGCCAGGTGAGTCCTTGGGCGGGGGGCCCCAGCTGCCTCTGCTCCCCGGAGAGCAGCCTTCCCGGGTGTGTGGTGTGCGAGGGGGAGTGGGAGAGGCTGCGGACACCCGGTGGCCTCCACCAATGGGGAACCAGGGTGGAGGACGGCTTGTCTTGATGCAACCGACATGCGTCCCACAGGCCAGTTTGTTTGTGTTCAGCAAGTGTTTCCCGAGCTTTCCTGGTGGGGCGGGCCATCCGCCAGGCACTGAGGGTGACGGGGGAGGGACAGGCCCTGACGTGAAGAACCCAAGTGGAGATGGTGGCCTGACGGGCTGGGTGCTGCCGTGGGGGAAGCCCAGGACAGGACAGGTGGGGGGCAAGGCGGGGTGAGCGGGGCTGGGCCTTGTCCCCGGGGTGTCGGGCAGACAGGAGGGCTGGCAGCGGGGAGGAGGCCAGGGGGTCCGGGTGGCCTGGGGCGGGGCACAAGGTGCCCCCAGAGAGGGAGGGGGGGCAAACTGGAGGGCAGGAGACGAAGTGGACCTGGGAAGACCCAGGACTTTGGGCCAGGCACCACGTGTGGGGGGAGCATCTCCCCGCGCACCCCCCCACCCCCCGCAGGCCACACGGTGTCGCCTGTTCCGGGCCATTGTCTTGCATGTGCCCCAACCGCAGCTGGCGGCTGTTCTGGCCACGTTCCCACGGACCTGCCGCTGGTTGGGCAGGGGAGGAATATCTGGGGCTTATATATGCTTTCAAACTTTTTTTTTTAATATTTTATTTATTTATTTGAGAGCGAGCACAAGCAGGGAAGAGGGAGAAGCAGACTCCCCGCTGAGCAGGGAGCCCGATGCAGGACTCAATCCCAGGACCCTGGGATCATGACCTGAGCCGAAGGCAGATGCTTAACGACTGAGCCACCAGGCGCCCCACTTTCAAACTCTTTGGACTGTAGCTCATAGGAAGGCTGCTCTGTCTCAGGACCTGGGATGCCCGTTCTGGAGTGTGTAGAAATGAAATAATTTGTTGAAATGTTTGTGGTTCTTGCTAAAGGTCTGTGTTAGATATTGAGGTTTTTGATTTCCTTTCGGTTATGAAATGCTTATTGCAACTCCCCACGCGGACTCCTCCACGCACTGATGTGTCACAACCTGCTTCCAACCCCCCGGGGCCCCCGGTAAGCAGACAGGCGCCCCTCTCCGGGGCCGGCCCGTGAGATGCTGCGGGGCAGTATCCAGGCCTCAGAGCTGCAGGGCGCTGGTGTGGGGGCGAGCCCGGCCGCGGGCATCTGGGACCCGGGGCGGGAACTGGGGCTAAGGCCCCCGGGGGATGGGATATGCTGGGAGCAGAAAGGGCTGACGGAGGCCACACCTGACTCCTAGAAGTCATTGCTATTTTTAGGGCCTCCCGCTTGGGAAGTGGATTTGTAGGGTATAGTCCAGCATCCTGAGGGACCTGCAGCGGTGACCTAAGCTTCACCATGTGGAGCCTGAGGGTCACGTTGGCCACTGAGACTCAGTCTGGGGTGAACCTCCAGGACGTCCCCCGACCTCGCACAGGGTCAAGGTTGAGAATGGCTTGGCAGCAGCGATGTGGGCGCAGCCAGCCCCTTGTCAGTGGCTCCGGGGCAGCTGCCCGGCTGTTACCTTCAGGAAGTCAGGGTCCACCCTGGGACCCGGGTTTGCAGACGCGGTGACAGCGCAGACCCCAGGGTTTTAATAAGCTCCCGAGACCAGTGGTTCCGGGTAAGTAAGCGCTTCTATGAGGAAGGAGGGAGAGGCTGTGGAGTTGCACATGTTCAGGGGATGTCGGGTTAACAGGATTAAACCAGTCTCGAGTCAGGGCTCCTGGGTATTCAGCCTTAACTGACCACGGGACACCTGCTGGGCTCCCAACCAGGCCTGCAGGGCAGTGTCCTGCTGTGTCCGCGGGGTGACCGGCCACGGCAGCACTGGTCCACCAAGGACTTCGGGGCTTTCTGTGTTTGCCTCCTGTAGCAAAGTGGGGGCTGGACGCTCAGTCTCGGGGGCGGGCAGCCTGGGGCTAACAGCTGTGGGAAGGGGCCGGGCGCATGGGCCCTGGGCCCCAGGTCCTGGCTGGCACTTCCACTCCGCTCAGGCCAGCCCTGTTCACCCGCACACCCGTGTTCTAGAACACTCCGGAATGTGCCCTCTGAAGCTGGCCTCTCTGACCTTCGTCCTCCTGCGGGAGAATGCTTTGGAGTCAGGCTGCGTGTAGGCGTCTGAGAAGTTGCCGGCTGACGTCAGGCCAGATAGCACCCCGGGCAGCCGGCGCGAGACCTGGGGCAGGCCTCTTGGTACTGGAGGAACCGACTTCTGTTTTCAGCCCCCGGCGGCCACGGCTGACCCAGTTAGTGCTGGAACCCCTAGCCAGGCCTCGGGGCACATTCTGGCTCTGTTTTTGTTAAACTGCTGGTCAGCGACCAGGGGCAAGTTAGCAGGGTCGGTGCCTGGACCTGCGGACAGTGGGAAACCCATCGAGTGCCCATCCATCTCTGGACCATGTCCAGCCCTTGTCATGCGGCTGGCTGGGTCTGACCGTTCCCGCCAGGTGGGCTCCTTGCCCGTCAGTCCCAGGAAGCCTGAACCAGCCTCCTGCTGGTCCCGCTCAGGCACACCGGCCCTCAGTCACCCAGCACATGCCAGGCGTTGTTCTGTCCTCACGGGGGTCGTGCTGGTAACCCCACACCCCAGGAGGTGGCACTGCAGTCCTCCCAACATACAGGGAATCAGCAGCCAGAAAGGGAAGGACCCTCACCTGCCCCACACAGCGAGCGTGGGCCTCCATCCAGGCAGTGGCTCAGGGCCAGCCCCATAGCCTCTGCACGAGGGGGGCTGACCTCCAGCTGACACACCTGCCCCAGGCCCTGTCCCGTGTCCTGCCCTGCTGACCTCTGTCCCCATCCTCTGTCCCGCCAGGAAGCTGATCAGTATCTCCTTCGGGGACCTGAACCCGTTCCCCCTGCGTCAGATCCGGAACCGGCGCGCCTACCACTTGGAGAAGGTGCGGCTGGAGCTGACGGAGCTGGAGGCCATCCGCGAGGACTTCCTGCGTGAGCGGGACACCAGCCCCGATAAGGGCGAGCTGGTCAGTGATGAGGAGGACACCTGAGTGCCCCCCACCCCGTGACACTGCTCTTGTCTTCACAACCAAAGCTGAAAGGATACACGGCAGAGGGGTCTCTGCTCATCGGAAAGCCCGAATGTAATGCCCGTGGTCTCTGGAAGTCTGCTGGGCGGACGTCCACGGCCACACTGCACTTCCTCATTTCCCCGCGGGGCGGGGTCTGCTCCGTGTACGGCCGTCTCCGTGCCATGGCGGGCGGTGTCCGTGTCCTGTGTGACCCGTGCACCCCCAGGGGAACCGGCTGGCTGTTGTCGAGCCTGTTGACAGCATCTGTCTGGATTCTGTGGTTGGCTTGCACCCGGCGTCAACCTGTGTCGCCCCCTAGGCCAGAGCACGGCTGCTTTGGGTGGTGTGAGGTGAGCGAAGCAAGTGCATCTGTGTTCAGAAATAGCCTGGAGAAAACCCACACCTTCCGTGCTGGTCGAACCACCGGCCATGCCCCATCTCTGGACTAGCTTGGGGAGGGCCTGGTCCTCCGGACACCCCACGCTTCCCACTCGGCCTCAGCCGGTGTCGGCGCACTGCCGGGCTGTCCCGCCCCCAGCCCGTACTCCGCCTGGCACGGCTCCATGAGGTTCTGTGGTCTCTTCTCTCTGAGGAGTGACTCGTGGAATCACTCTGCGTAGGGATGAGAGTCCACAGAAGCTATGGACCGCCGTCCTGCGAGGCAGGCCCACCTCGGGGGCAGGCCTTGGTGGAGGAGACAGAGGAAGCTTCTGGGGACGCCTTACAGGGCAGCGGTGAGGCTGCAGGGTGACGCCGTCGGCCAGGGCTCCGGGGGCCTCCCCCACCTGCTGGGGTGGCGGCGAGGCCGGCTGCCAGCGCCTTTGTTTGGGACAAAGCTTTGGTGAGCTGTCCCGTTCGGGATCCCTCCCCAGTGCTGCCCAGAGGCATCCGCATTCTGGCAGCCGGCCTCCCCGCTCCCCAGGGTCAGCGTGGTCCTGGCTGTGGGGTCGCCACTGCCTCCAGCAGGTCAGGCTGCCCACGCTGTTCTGCGGACTGGGAGCGCTCTCTTTTTAAAGCTCTGCTAAGAGGCTTTGCCCAGGGAAGGTTAATTTTGCTTCGTCCCTCCGCAGACCATCCCTGATCCACGTGTGGATGCAAGAGTGTTTCCTGGCACAGTGTTACCCAAATAGGAAAGAAACCATTTCACACGGAATTTTTACATTACTTGGAGAAATTGGAAGTAACCCCCAGTTGAAACTTATCAGACGCAGCCTAAGCGTTGAAGGAGTCCCCTGAGGAAGTGCATTTTCTGAGGACAGATGTTCTGTCTCAGTCCGTGTTTATCGGTGTCCCGGCTGGGCTGGCGTCCCCACATACCACACCGAGCTCGGCTTTTGTGCTGTGAGGTTGGTTAGCCTGATCTTTCAGATAGCAGACGCGTTGCACCAGGGCTCCGGCGGGGGGTGGATGGCTGCTGGAGGTCGGCCTCAGGACGCGGCCTCGCTGCCATCGCAGACCCCTCCCTGCCCCAGCTCTGCGCGGCTCACCTGCTGGGGGACAGCAGTGAGGAGGCGCCGTAGGGTCAGACTCTAGTTTCCAAGTTGACTTCCCCAGAACTGCCACGTCCTGGGGTGAAAATGCTGCCTTTTGGAATAGGCTGGTTTTGTTGGTTTTGCCCCAAAAAAGACCTATCTTAAAAGCACCTGGATTGGGCCCAGGTGCCTGCCGGGTGTGGCTGGAGCCGTGGTTTCGGGGAGTGGCCAGCAGCGCCGTGTTGGTGTCCGCAGGCGGCTGTCCACGACCGGGCAGTGGCCGTGAGGGCAGCGCGGTCGTGGAGAGGGGGACGGGGGACACTTTCCCGGAGGCCGCCCTGTCTCTGGGTGTGCAGAGGGCGGCAGGGATGCTTGGCCTGGCCCAGACGGGGCAGGATGCTGAGCCGCAGGCCGTGCCCCACAGCCAAGGGCAGCTACCAGCTTGCACGCGGACGGGTTTTGTGTCTTACGGGCTGAACATCTGTTAATACTTTTGTCTATTTTTCACTACAGTTTATATTTTTATAGACTATTTTTATCAAGGGTTTTTAGATTATGTATATCTATTTTATATAACGAGTTCTTTGTGAGCGGCTGTGTGTGAGAGCGAGAGCCTGAGCGGCCTGGGTCGCTCTTGGCTCCTGGGCCATCTGTGGCCCCCGGGCTTGCGTGCGCCGGCACGGCCTCCCGCGGCCTGTGGTCACGCGCACCGCCGTCCCACAGCAGCCGGGGCCCCCAGGGCTGGAACGAGTCTGCCTTCTTCCCACACTGTATCCATATAGGAAGTATTCTAGGCGAACCGCCAGTGCATTTTTTTTTTTTTTAAACTGTTTGTATCCTTGTATCCCCACCCTGGCTTTGTCCGGGGCTGTCCTCCTGCACGAGCCCTGGGCAGCTGGGCCCCGCACGGGGCGGCCCCTGCAGGCGGGAGGCTGGCTGCTGCCTCAGGGGGCTGCATGGAGGGCAGTGCCTGGTGACTTCCCCTGATGTCACTGCGGCTTCTCGGCTTCTCTTTGAGTTAAATTTTGGAACAGTCTTTATACTAAAAAGCCAAATAAACTAATTTGTGTAATGTTCTGGTTTGAGATGCCATTAACAGTTGCTCCACCCCCAGGGCTCAGAGGGGGACAGGACTTCTGGGGGCGGGGGGCTCCGAACTGCCAGCGGGCTCTTTTTAGGTACACATTCTTGGTTTGTTCTGGGGTGTGTGGCACAGGATGCCGCCGTTGACCGTGCAGCCCCGGGAGCCAAAGTCAAGCTGCAGGTGAATGCGGGGGCACTGAGGTGAGCACTTTGGGGTCCCGGGCCTCAGCCAGGAGCTGGAGCGGCTCCCCCCACCCCACCCCAGCTGCAGCGTGCCCTGCCTGAGTCATGGGCTGTTTGCCTCCTGTCTGGGCTGACCACTCCAGCCCAGCTGCCACTGGGGACACCATCCCCCCTCACCCCCCATCGTCGGAAAAACACACGAGAACGATTAAGACCAAATGTCTTTCCATGGTGTGGGGGAGGGGGCTCCAGGGAGGAGTCCCAGAGCGAGCAGATAAGGACCTGCTGAGCCCGTCTCCTCCTGGGACAGACTCGGTGAGGCTGTGGGTGCCTGAGGTCACAGCAGTGGCTGAGCCAGGACTGGGACCCACACGCTCAGCGTGGGTCAGGGCCCAGAGGCAGAGGCCCCGTTCCTTGGAAGGGTTGCTGCCGTGGACAGCACGAGCCCTGGGAAGCCGTTACGGAGTGTGGGTCCCCAGGGCCTCGGTGGGCCACGGAGCTGTTGCAAACACAGGAAGGAAGTCTGATGCCCCTGCACCCCCCGACGGCGCAGTGATCCTGGGACTCTTGCAAGCCCTGGTGACTCGCTTTCCTGAGTGACCTCAGCCCTGCCTGCCTCTGCGTGAGCCACCGCGGGGCCTGCCTGGAGCTGTCTTCCTGCCAGGTCGGAGGGCTCAGCACCGGGCGAGAGGGGGCCTCCAGGACAGCATGGCTAGGGCCTCGGGCCCCAAGCCAGACCCATGCAGAGCCCTGGGCTTCTCGGGCCCCGTGGAGCGTGTTACTGAAAGGGGTTTGGGGTGTGAGCAGATAATGGGAAGCCGGAGGGCAGCTCTGCCCGCCATCCCTTCCAGGTAGGGACCGGCCTGGGGACAGATGCTTGCGGATGGCTTTAGCCTCTGCTGTGTTTTCTTGTTCTCAGTCCCCGGGGTGTGGCTTTCAGTGATTCCCCTCCCACCGAGCCACAAGTGGCCACATGGTCCTCATCCCACTACACAGCTCAAGGACCACTGTGCACATTACAGGCCGTGTCCCCTGCAGGTGTCCACGGGGTGGGGGCCTGGACCTCTCTGACCCTCTGCATCCCCCGTTTGGAGAAGGGGGATTCCACCTTCCAGGAGTAGGACTGGGGAACAGGCTCTAAAAGACATGGCTACTTCGCAGAGGAGGGGCTGGGCCTGGCAGGGTCATGGCTAGCCCGGCTGGAGCCCAGGACCCTCTTGGAGCGCCTCCTGCCCATCTGCTGCCCACTGTGTCCACCGGTCTGGCCCCATGGACGCAGGTTTGGCAGGCAGGACAGGGCTGTGGTGGGCAGGGGCTGGGTCGCACCTGGGCCGGGCAGGGGGACGGGAACCAGCTGCAACCAACCCAGCCATCTCTGAACACGGAGCCCATGTCGGGAAGGGACAAGGCGGGGCCGGGAAGGGGGTGGCCGTCCGCGCCTCCCTGCACCATCTCTCCTGGGGGGGTCGCCAGCTCCACTGATCTCCTCCCCTTTGGTGCAGGTGAGTTAAGTGCTAGAGCACTCACTGCCAAGCCCCACGGGGGCAGTCCCTGCTGGAGGCAAGGGCCTTGGGGCCCGAGGTGGGGTGTGACCCGGTCACCACGAAACCACAGGTCTCTGAGGCCCGGGAGTGGGGACGTGGGGGATGCAGAATGAGCGTGGCTGGGACTAGCACTCCCCCGCCCCTCAAATGCAGCCTGCTAAGGACACCGGACTCCTCCTCGAGGAGCACGTGAAGAGGGTGGAGGGCAGGAGATCGGGCCTCAAATTCTCCCAATGCAAGAGGGAACCAAGCTGCACGTTGAAACTGTAGGTGCTCGTTTATGTATAATAATAATAAAGGTTATGCAAACCGTTAAAATAAAAAAATACCTTTTCTTGGGGGAGGGGGCCCCAGCCCGCCAACCAGCAGGCCAGGTTAGCACCTTCGGGGTGCAGCCCGCGGTCGGGCGTGAGGTCCGTGTGTCCGGGTTGGGGGGTCGGCGGACCCGTGCAGCCTGGCCCGGCTGGGGTGGCTCAGCGGCGGGCGATGCGCTGATGGCCACGGGAGGGGGCTCCGTGGCCCAGAGGGGGGCAGGAGCGGCAGCACTGGGTGTGGACAGCGGGCAACTGGCATCGGCCCAGCAGACGCAGAGTCTCACAGAAGCCGAAGGGCAGGCGGTCCCGCTCACAGCCTGCAGCAAGGCAGGGGGGGCCCTCAGGATGGAGCCCACACCTGCACCCCCCCCGCACCCACAGCCCCCCACGCCTGCACCCCCAGCACCTGCAGCCCCCCGCATGTGCACCCCCCCGTGCCTGCAGCCCCTGTGCGCCTGCACCCCCGTGACCCTGCACCCCAGCACCTGCACCCCCCTGCACCTGCACCCCCCTGCACCTG